GAGGTCTATAAAATCATGAACAGTGTGAACAAAGTCAATCAATAACAGCTATTCATCAAGTTCCAGAATACTAGAACTAGGGAGCACCTACTGAAGATAGGGACTAGACAAATACACAGCCAACACATGTGTTAATAGCTATTAAAACAGAACAATTGGAAATATTTCCTCTGGCCTCTCCAAACCAATGATAGTAGATGCCAGGGAGGTAACAAACAGGGATGGATTACTCTAAATATATCTGGTTCAATACTGTCCCTGCAAAGCATTCACTCCTGGCACTGTCAGATACAAGCCTATTTGTTATACACAGGGGGACTGTGGGCCTGGGCCTGCAGAGACAGTGTGATTGGGCCCCTTCTGTTGTTAGAGGGGGCAATTAAGTGTATACTAACAGAATTCTTGAGATAACTAAAGAGGAAGACAGGAATGAGAGTGGTGGTCATAGATTAATAACAAGGGTTCCAAGGGGAAACGCTTAGCAAATCACACCAGCCAGTGCCCACAAGCACTTGAATAAGTCCAAAGAGCAAAAGGACACCATCCAGTGCAACTCTGGCTGAAGACATGCACAGTCACAGAGGCCCTCCTAACCAGAACCTCCCTCCTGATTAGACAAGAGGCAAGCCTAGACAGAGCCAGGAGGAGATGGGTCAGGAGGTCCCAGGACTTGGTGGGACCACAGATGGGGAGTACATAACAAAAAAGGTGCAGGGAGAAATGTAACCAGACCTCAGAAGAAGGTTCCTGAAGAAGCAGTGGAGGGACTGCAGCCTGGCATATGGTAGACATGTGCAAGGTCTCCTTCTAATGGAGAAAGGGGCAAGTATGGAGAGTGCCTGTGAAGAGTGAGAGATATGCCCATGGTGATGGCTCTGTGGAGGAGCCACCAGCTGAGGTCCCCAGTAGCTTGCAGGATAAGGGTGGAATACAGACTGACCCACTAGGGACCAAGGGTGTCTTGCCACTTGGTGTCTGGGTAGGACACACAGATGAAGTTGTACAGCATGCAGACCAAAAACAAGTAGAGCTGGCAGCAATGGATTTGGACCCCATCCTCCTGACGTGGTACAGTGGGAAGTGCCACAGGGCTTGCCAAGATAAGGGCCCCACAACAGAGGTATTGGAAGGCAGAAGGGAAGAGAGGCAGTGCCTTTGCACAGGACTTACTGGATGTAGGTAAGAGCAGTGTCCAACAGGGAAGCCTTAACTTCTTGGAATGAGAGGGTTGGACTAGATAATCTCCTGAGGTCTCTTCTAACCCTAATTTTCTATGATTCTAAGTGGCATGGCACACACAGCATTGGTAGCTCCATGATCCAGACCAACAAGACAGAGGGATCTACCCACTATCAGAGACAGGATACTGAACTAGATGGACCACCAGTCTGATCTAGTATGGCACACACGTTCTTATGAGTACTGCTGATATCCGTGGGAGCCTGAGTGGGGCATTCAGTTCTCAAAGCACCAAGTTGCAGGTTTGAGGCACAAGTCAGTGATTGTAAAATACTTTCTGCCTCTGGGTGCTATAATAGGAAGCCATTTTTGTAACTGACAAGCTTTTAAATTTGGATGCCTCTCTTTAGGAAAAAAAAAAAAAAACCAACAGTACAGTGATTGGGTTCCACCCCTCACCTCCATGGCCTTGTACATGTTAAGAATTTGTTAGATTTTCCCACAGGTCAATTTTTCCCTACTGCCACCATCAGTAGAAGTTACTAAAGTTATCAATATAAACATAACCTATGAGGAAAAATGCTTTAACAGTTGTTGCAATTGTCCAGACCAGGAATAGCTCTTTTTTTTTTTCTTTTTAAAGACTTAATTCACAGAACTGTTTACTTGCACAACAGGGTGCCAACTTCCCCCCACCAAACTGGCAAGGGATAAAGCTATCATATACAGTAACTGTTGTCAGTACAAATATGGCCAAGGAGGTGAGCTAAGAAATAGCTACACAATCCAAGTGCTCTACCTGAATCTCACCTGCAATTTCTTTTATTTGCCATTAAAATAGCTGATTGTAAAAAGGAAAATACTGGGCATGATTTTCATAAATGCTCACCCTTTCCCACAAGGCACTGAGTCATCTCAATTCCCAATGAATACAAACAGAACAGACCAAAAGCTGTAGCAAAATGATACCTGATCTCACTGCCATTGAAGAAAGCTAGTCAGGTGACCTGGGACTTCAAATACAGTCAATGGTCACTTGGATTTCAGTGTCTCAGTAGGAAGGATAGTTTAAGAGGATAGGTTTAAAAGAAAATAAGATCAGGTTCTATATTTTTTAGAATTTAAAATAAGGCTTACTGATCATGGTTATTTCAGCACTAACCAAAAGGCTTCTTAAAAATGGTTTCAGAGCTGAGAGATCAATTCTTCTCTCAGTAACAAAATAGGAAAGATGTTCAAAGGTCAGAAAATAACTCCTAACTTAAAGCCTGGCAAGAGCAGGAGGAAGAAACTACTTACAATCCTCAGTGCATCTACAAAAAGGATATTCCAGCATGAATATTTTACCCAGGAGAAATCTGCACACTCATCAGAAAAATGCCAAACATCTTCTGGTGTCAGGGATGTATTTGATGCTTCTGCAAGCAAATGGCTTTTGGACAAGTTTAGAAAGATTAGAGTAAGAGCTTTCAAAAGAAGACTTTCAGCAAGGTTGCTTTATACCTTGTTACTTTGCATCTGATGTCAGATGCAAAGAACACATTCATGTAAAACTCAACTCTGGCAAGTTTTTTTTCCCCCCTTTCCAAAAGGAAAAAAAAAAAGCTGGAATGAGAACCATTTGAGGGGCAAGCCTATGTTTTATTCATGCTGTTTTTTTCTAGCTGCAGCAATGCAAATACTGCATGAATCAGGGTCAGCATTAATTTAGATACATTGTTAGCAGAAATAAACCACAGGTAAGTCCCTAGGCCCCAAGTTTAATTAAGATACCATAATATATGGTGAAAGCAAGATAAACCCAAGCCATTGACCTGAACACACTGAATTTTAAGCTGCAGTTACAAAAAACTAAACCTCTAAGAAAAGCTAGCACAAATAGGAAAGTGCTCAGTAATCCAATTAGCATTTTGTCCCCAAGACAAAAAAAAGAGGCCAGTGCCAGAACTGTTTAAATATGAAACCTTTCTTCCTGAACTAGAACTAAACACCAAAAGATTTATTTTTCAAAGTAGCTTCCTGCCCTTTCTTCTTCCTTACTGTTCCCTAGACATTAGTATAATAATCCCTTGACTGGAACTTTACAGAATAAGCCATAACAGCTATATAACTTGCCATTCAACTAAGCCCTTTGAAAATATTTTACACATGTTATGCTCTGTGACAAAATGATGGCAGTATTGTTTGAAATGGAGTTGCAAATACCAATGCAAGACAAAACTGGAACTTTCATTTTAGCTCTTTTCAGTTACTGATCACAACCTGAAAAATTATCCTTTTTGGATAAATTTTCCATGCTTGGTCCAAAGCTAACAGCAATTAAAAGTTATAAGAAGATCTAATTTGCCTTTGAATAATAAGTTAGCAACAAAAAACACTTTCCACTTTCTTTGGGGGGGGGGTAGGGCATTAGAAACCCCTTTGCCCACATGATTAAAACAATCCACGAGAGAGACAGAGAGAGAATTATATACGAATGGCTAAATGTCTAAGGTGCTAGAAAACTATAGAACAAAGTAAATGAAAAAAAAGCTACAGCTTGGGAACTTCTTCATTGTGAAAAAAGGAGACCTAACACTAAATAAGACAGCAAGGTACTACTGAAACACCACTTAACAGCAGCAACAATGTGCATAAACTCACCCTGCAGCTATAGAAATATAATCACAAGTGTTCACATTAGCATTTTAACCTTCTCTTCAAAAGAGGAAAAAAAGAAACATGAATGTTAATACTAGACTACAAGAGTTAAAGCTCCATGAGCTCCATTAACTCCCGCGCATTAAATATAGGCAACCTTACTGCTATTACAAAAAGTGCAGTATTTGATATCAAACAGGTGCATTTCAAAGCAGATACGCATGTGTGACTCCCTCTGACTCAAAAGGAAATTGCAGACAATAGCACTGCTAATCTTCACCGGGCATTCCAGGCAAATTAGTTCCTAGAGTCAAGTTATTGTAGAGTCAAATCAAGAAGGTATTTCTGTATCTGACCTCTGGCAAGTAACAAGGCATGAAGCAGCATTGCTGACAGTTTTCTTATGATATATACTGCCCTGGTTGTTAGATCAGCAGATAAACAAGTGTCTCTTCTCAATCCTCCCCATTATACCAGACTTTAAGACAAATTTGATATCATTCCTACTTGATAAGACAGACATCAAGGCACAGATGCGGTGAACAGCTGAAACAGCTGGCACCAAAAGCAGTGTATCTGGTTGCCAGTTCAGGACCTTGGAGGTTTTCATAGTGAGCTACATTTTTATGCATCTCTCGTACACAGCCCTGTCCCTACAACTCTGCAGCCACCCTTAGCCAGGGCGTCCAGACTGTGGAATAAACTCCCTCCAGAGGTGGTGCAGTCACCCACCCTGGAGGTTTTCATGAAGAGACTGGACAGTCACTTCCCTGGGGTCACCTAACCCCAGTTATCTTCCTGCGGGGGGGAGGGGGGGGTGAGAGGAGGGAGGTGGCTTGGGCCGGATGATCTGCGAGGTCCCTAACAATCTATGAATCCAGTCCTCCCTGCAGCCGGAACAGAAGAGCTGGGGTAGAAATAAAGCATTTCAACCGTATTTTAATTTTAACTCTTCACAGAAGCAGGGCGAGCCAGGCTCTCGCTGGCCGGCGGCAGCAGACAGCAGCTCGCTTCAGCCCAGCCAACGAGCCCCTCCACCGGCGCCTGCCCCGGCCCAACGGACGCGGAGCGATCACTCCCTGGCCGGTCACCTCCCGGCCCAGCCTGAGGCGGGGAGGGACAGCCCCCCCCCGCGCGCACACACGCCGGGACTGGGTCGGGCCGGGCGCGGCCGCTCTCACCCTCGGCGATGACTCGCTTGATCCGCAGCTTCATGTCCCCCAGCTCCACCGTCTGCCCCACGAAGTCGTTCTGGTCGCGGCTGGCAGCGCCCAGGGAGCCGGGCCCCGCCAGGAAGTCCAAGGCAGACTGCAGCAGCGACATGGTCGCGCCGCACCGCGCCGGGAAGCGGGGCTAGCGCCGGGCCGCTGCCGCCGCCTCTTCCGCGAACCACCGACTGTACCGAGCCCTGCCGGCCACCGTAGTTAGTCTCAGCCACTTCCGGGAGAGTGGCGTCATTTATGACCTGACCTCACCGCACCGCCCAGCAGCCAAGCCCCGCCCTGTACGCAAGGGGCCAGAACGCGGGCTGGGCTGAGCCCGATGCCGCCGCTGCGCTGGGTTCCCACCCGCGCATTGGGGGCGGGGCACCTGCGTCTCTTGCCCGCCCCCTGCGCCGCCGTGCCCGCCCAGGGAAGGGGCTTGAGGCCTCTGACGCATCTGCCTCCTTGGTCGCGGTAGGAATTTGCTCAGAAGAAAGAGTTCCGAAATCAGTCCCCGACGCAGACCGCACCCGGAAGATCCTGTCACGCTGCGGGGGCCCAGCTGGCAGTTTTCCAGCCTCGTTCCGTGCAGGCAGAGCCCGCATGTGCAAGCCGCGACAGTAAGTGCAGCTGGGTACAAAACTGGGTCTGGGAGCGAGATGAGCCCAAGGGGTCGATTTTGAGGGGCCGGAGACTGCAGCGCGGGGCCCCCAGGCTCAATCCTCGTGCGCAAGCTTCAGTCCTATCTGCAGGTGGGCCCTGCGCTGCTCAGCTGGCCAAAAGCTTGAGCACCACTGGTCTAGACGCTTGAGTGAGCTGGACTTGCCAAAGCCCCATGGTAGCATCTCATTTATTTGCTTTATCTTCTGACAACTGAGCCAACGTACATTTAATTGCAGATGAAGGGACTTTGATCTCGAAAGCTTGCAGAAAAGGACAGTTTTCTTGCCATTTTCCAATTGGTCTAATAAAAGGTATCATTTTGGAACCAAGAGTTCTAGTTTTTTGTATGTCTTAATTGCAGAAAGCACTTATCTTTCTTCCTCTACGCACTTTTGTTAAGTTGGGTAACATCCGCACAAATGTGGATTTTTCCATTAGGTTTCAGTACTAGTCTGCGAGTTGATGAGTTTGGGAAATGGCTCCCATCTTCTCCATCCTCTTTAATTCTTCCTTGACTTTTTTTTTTGGCAAACAAATGGGGATGCATGCAGGAGCTGTCCAAATAAACAGAGTTGATGATGGTGCCAGTGTCTGTTTGCCTGACTGCCTCACACAAGTAGGCTGAGACCTTGAATTGCTGGCAGCTCCAGTAGGGGAAGTGTTAAGCCTTGTATCACATCATAGGTTGTGGCAGTTTTCCTTCTTTTTTCCAATATCCCTTTGAACTAACCAGAAACTTCTAATATAGCATTATTTACCCCAGCTCCTCTGGGGGCTTCTTGTACTAGCATCCATCTAGTGTTATTACTGCTAGTCCTCTGTAATAGAGGGAGTGGAGGACCACAACTCTATGATTAGGGGCCTAATGAACTTGAGGCAGGTGTTGGCCAATTTTGCGTGCAGATCATGGCAGCCATTTTGGCAGGCCAAGCACAGCAAGCCCCTCCCAAGCCTCTGATGGAACAACAGCCACAGTGGCCCTAGCCCTCACTGCTGATTGTCTGTGAGGGTGGTCTGTCATGTGGCCCCTCCCCTTGCCACTGAACAGCTGTGAGGCCTATCTGTCATGCCACCCTGCCCCCTTCCCATGGATTGCTAGGGGTGGTGAGGCTAATGATGCATAGCCCTGGCAGCCAGTCAGTGGTGAGGAGTGGGGATGACAGCCATCTTGCCACGCAGCTGTCCTTCCAAGGACTGCTGGTTCCCCAGAAAGACCCAGCATTTTATTCTTGGGAAGTTTTTTGTTTTTGGGGAGCCTGTCAAAAGCACGGAGCCTGGCTGCGATCATAGTTTCCAGGAGAACTACAAAACCGTGATTTCATTAGGTCACTACCTATGATCATTCCACATGGCTCAGTGAGATGGCTGCCCTCTGAAAGCGAATGGGCACCGACTTCTAACCTGAGCCCATATTCACAACTAGTCAAGAATGACGGGCAGAGAGTGTGGGCAGGGACAGAGACCTGCGTCCAGTTAACACCCCGCCCCCAGCACCTTCAGGGCCAGGCCTGCTCCCCCTTTCCCTGACTCTGCCATGGGACCAGGCCTGGCCTACCCACCCTTCTCGCCACCATTGCAGGTCTGGGCCTGCCCCCACCACCCCACCTCCTTGCCACTGTTTCAGAGCTGGGCCTGACCCCCCACCAACCCTTTGCCCATGTTCCCCTTTGTACCATATGCCCTTTCCCCATGTGGGGGAAATGGCACACAGTCCAGGGGGAAACACAGAGAAGGGACATGCAGTGTGGGCGGAACATCGGTGAAGGGACCTGTGGTGTGGGGGGAACACAGGTGGAGAGGCACGCTTTGCATTGGAGAGCACGGAGGAGGGCATGCACTGTGTGGGTGAAGGGACACAAGGAGTGAGGAGAGTGCAGGGAAAGGACATGGGAAAAGGAGCACTCCACATGTCCCTTCCCTGTGCCTGCCAAGCTGCATCCTTTCCCCCACATTCTGCCCTCCCCCCTTCTGCTGTGCTCCCCTTACACCACAAGTTCCTTCCCCATGCTTTCCCATGCACCCACTGCTTGCCACATTAGCCACTTTGGCTCCTCCCAGCGCTGTAGCAGCTGCTTGGCTAGCCTGTACTTTAATATAATATGAGAGGTTATTTCCCCCATGCTGAAGAAGAGGAAAAACCTCATCTTATTTGAATAAATATGGTATCCCTGTGTAGCCTATAAGTAAAATTGCCCCCAACTTTTTTATAAGATTTTGTTGCAGTTGCTTAGAGAAAGTTCAGCCATGTATGAAAATGTGAATGGCAGATGTCTGCTTCAGTGCAGTTTTTCTTTCAGCCAGAGGTGTAATCATTTTTAAAATAACAGGAAAATGGACTGTTTCCCTGCATACTAAAAAATGTTTTCTGGAAAAAATCTGTAATCTCTGGGCTTTGGACCAGGGATTTGAAATTTGACAGAGCAGCTTGGTAGCCTTTGTATGAGGGACATGCTTTTTTGCTCTTCCTGAAGCAGGAGGGAATTATTCATATTTGGCAAAGGAAAATGAGTTCACCCATTAGAGGTGCACTGGTACATCAGTCTGATATCAGATCGGCACCAATATAAAGAAAACCAAAGAATTGCCCATCAAGAATGACAGATGAATTTCAATTAACAAAAACAAATGGATAGATTTTACTTTTTATATTATACAAATTAAATATTTATAAAACTTAAATAAAATAGGCTGAACATTTGAAGATACCAATCCCTTCCTGTATTTGCACCTGTCCATGCTGCCATCCAGCCGCCACCTGCATGCCTCTTTGCTGGGCAAGGGCAAGTGAGCTCCATGCCTCACAACAGCTGCCCAAGCCCCTGGGCTTCCTCTGCACTACCCCCAAGCACCTCCTTCTCTGCTCAGGGCTTGGGACAGGACCATCATGGCTTACCCACTGCCTCTCACCTCTGCCCAGCTCCCACTTTTCCTCAACTGGCCCCTCCTTCTGCCCCTCCCACCATGCTGGGTTCACCCCAGGTGCCTCCTTCCCTGCTCAGGGTTCAGGATGGAGCTGCCACTGCTTGCCCACTGCCTCATGCCTCTGCCCAGTTCCCAGTTTTCCTCAGCTGCCCTGACCTCTGCCTTCCCCACCGTGCCGGGCTCCTGCCACCCTTCTGGGAGGAGCTCAATAGAAACAGCCCTGGCCCCTGACTTTTTCCCCAATTCTGGAAGTTGGGATCATCCTGACATGGTCACTAAACAAAAGCTAGGGTTTAGCAAAGAAATTTCTCAGAAGACACAGATGTTCTCTCTCTCACAGTTTTCAAGCTATTCACTTTTAAAGAGTGTTGTGGACA